GGGGAGTCTGCTTCTACCTCTCCCTCTGTGTCTCCCCCTGCTTGTACATGCTCTCTCTCTCTCTCTCTCTCTCTCAAATGAATAAATGAAATCTTTTTAAAAATATATATAGCTTGTTGGGAACCTCTGCTTCAGGCTATAGCATATCTTGTATTAGACAAACTCTCCAACTGAGAATAACTAGGAAAACTGGACAAATATTAAAAAGTATCTTTGAAGATATTGGAGAGTTATTAAGGAAGTGAAGTCAAGATCCTAGAGAGAAAGAAATCATAAAGAGGTGAACCCAACAATTGGCTGTGCTTTTCCCTTTGAGGCATTTGCTGATTGATAGAGCTGTAGCTACAAAGCTAAGAAACTGGGCAGGATTTTCAGTAATTGAAGTCTCATGGAGCCGAAGGAACAAAAACTGGGGTTCAGATAGTGGGCCCCATATATGCACCTGAGGCCACTGAAGAACTACTTTCTAAAGTGAGGACTTACCAGAAATAGACCAGCCCTTGCAAACACTGAAGTCTACCTTCCAATCAGCTCAATCTCAAGGTAGATGAAGGTCATTTGCCTTGGCCCTGTAGTTCTCAGAGTATGGTGTCCAGATGAGAAGCATCACGGAGACCTGATTAGAAATACAAATTCTCAGACCCTACTCCAGACCCGATGAATCAGGACATCTAGGGGGTGGGGCCTAACAATTTGTATTTCACAAGCCCCCTAAGAAATGCTGATGCAGATGGAAGTTTGAGAATCACTTCCTTAATCTAACTGCCAGAGGAAAAGAATATTCTCTCATTAAAAATGTTTGGCAGTTGATGCTTGCTGAATGCTCAGCCTCTGAGCAGTGATGGGTTCAGTGTTAAATGTGATAAATACTGTATTTTGTATTTTTTTAATTGGAGCTATAATGTGGAAATGGTCCAAAGAAGACAGCTTCCTCTATGCAGTGTGCTTTTTTTTTTTAAAACAAGTAACAACTCCATTTAAGAAACAGTTACTACTTTGAAGTCATATCAGTGAGAAAGATGTGTATGCCCTTACAGTTTTCCTAATAAAGACATGTATTCAGTGTAAAACAAAATGTGGATTTTTTTTTCAGAGATTAGCAGACATGCCAAGAAATAAGACTGATTTACCAAAAGACTAAGAAAACAAAACAACATGAAACAATACAAATAGAGCCAGATATTAATGTTATCAAACATGGACTTTAAATTAATTATGGTTAATATGTTCAAGAATATAGAAGGTGGAGAATTCAACAGAGAAGTGCAGTCTATTTTAAAAAGAATCAAATAGAAATTCTAGAACCGAAACTTTAAATAACTGTAATTAGAAACTCAACTGTTGAGCTTAGAGTAGACCAGCTGAAGAGAGGATTAGTGAACTAATTAGATAGATGGTAACAAATATCTGGCACAAGGTGTCCAGCTGGCTCCATTGGAAGAGCGTGCGACTCTGGATCTTGGGGTTGTGAGTACAAGCCCCATAGTGAGTGTAGAGATGACTTAAATAAATAAAACTTAAAACAGAAAGAGAAAGAAAATAACCCAGAATGAAACTCAGACAGAGACTAGGAAGGGAAATATAGAAAAAGCATAATAAATAAATAGAATATGGCAAATAAGGTCTAACATAAGTAGAATTGGAATGCAGAGGAAAGAAAAAGAAGAATTAGCTGCTTTTTTCCTGGGACACTGTTTTTTACTTGAAAGAATGACTAGGCAAACTATGGTCCTTTAGACTTAGGTATCTGGCAGACATTTTCTTGAAAATGAATACAGTGAGCTTGTCACAAAGTTAGTTGTTGCCAATTACAAAATAAATTTCAAGGAGGGATTAGAATTTTGGAAAACTTGTATCTGCCATTATGAGTGGTATTATTGACTGCTTCCCAATATTTGAAGACTGCCCCAAGATCAAAGGTGATATTAAAGAATGATTTTTTATGTTTTATTTTTCTGTTTTTTTAATTGAGATATAATTGACATATTGTATTAGTTTTAGGTGTACAACTTAGTGATTTAGTAAATATATTACAAAATGATTACTACAGTGAGTTTAGTTAACGTCCATCATCACACATAATTATAATTTTTTCCCTCTTAAGAACTTTTAAAATTACTCTTTTAACAACTTTCGACTTTATAATACAGCATTGTTATTTATAGTCACCATACTGTACATCATAAACCCAGGGCTTACTAATCTTATAAATGAAATTTCATACCTTTTAAGCACCTTGACCTACTTTGCCTAGCCACAGATCAGTTCTCCGTTTCTATGAGTTTGTGTTTTTTTAAGATTTCACATATAAGTGAGATTAGATTTTTTTTTCCCCTCTTATTTTGTATGAGTTCTTTATCTGTTTTGGATATTAACCTTACCAGATATATGATTTGCCAATGTTTTCTTCCATCTGTAGGTTGCCTTTTCTTGTTGATGGTTTGCTTTGCTATGCAGAAGCTTTTTAGTTTGATACAGCCCCACTTAATTTATTTTTGCTCTTGTTGCCTTTGCTTTTGGTGTCAAATCCAAAAAAATCATTATCAGGGCCATGTCAAGGAGCTTACCCCTATGTTACAGAATGTGATTTATAAAATTATTACTTTATAATGCAATGTGTCAACATTTAGAAGATCTGCACCAGTGTTTTCCAAATGACCGATGTGCAATGACCCAAATTCGTGCAGGGGTAAGAAGGTCCATTCAAAATGCAAGACAGACCAATAGATTTCAGTATAACAATATGAACAGTCTGTTAACATGGTTTCAGATTCCACTTGCTACTAACCATTTTTTCTTTCTTTTTTCTGCTACTAGCCTTTGAGAAACTGCCATTTGTGTTTTACTCTATAGTTTTAAAGAATATCCATAATTATCTAAAAAGGCTATTAAAATACTACTGGCTTTACCAACTACAAACCTGTGAAAGACTTTATATTCTTTATATATTTTAATTGAAACACCATTATAGAACATATTGAATAAAGTGTGAATAAAAATCTGGTTATCTTCTACTAAGCCAGTGTTAAAGAAAATGATAAAAATGTAATACAACACCCTTACTAAAATCTTTTGTTTTAGATAATAGTTATTTTTCATAAAAGCTAAGTTATTGATGTAACTTTCTGTAATAGGGCTATTATTTTTAAATGCATTAGTACATATTTTTAAAATTGATCAGTTTTAATTTCTGCTAGGGTAAATATGAATAGATATACATAAACAAAAGCCCTTTGGGGGGCGGGTCTTCAGTAATTTTTAAAAATGTAAAAGGGTGGCACTTAGTGGCTTAGTCAGTTAAGCATCTTCCTTCAGCTCAGGTCATGAACCCAGGGTCCTGGGATCAAGCCCCACGTCTGGCTCCATGCTCAGTGCGGAGTCTGCTTCTCCCTCATCCTCTGTCCTTCCCTCTTGCACACTCTCTCAAATAAATAAATAAAATCTTTGAAAAAACGTAGGGGCCCTGTGGGTGGCTCAGTTGGTTAAGCATCTGCCTTCGACTTAGGTAATGATCTCAGGGTCCTGGGATCGAGCTCCATATCTGGTTCCCTCCTGAATGGGAAGCCTATTTCTCACTCTCCCTGCCACTCTCCCCTGTTTGTGCTCTCTGTCAAATAAGTAAAATCTTAAAAAAATATATAGATATAGATATATAGATACAGATATAATGTAGAAGGACCCTGAGACCAAAAAATAAAAGTATCATTGCTACAGATACTAAAATGACAGTTAAAATATACAAGAGTAAAATAAATAAATAAAATATACAAGAATATTATGAATAATTTTGCGCCACTAAATATAAGAATATTAAGTTCTTTGAAAAATAAATATTACCAAAACAGAAAATCTCACTAGGCCTAAGTCAATTAAAGAAATTGAACCCCTTATTTAAAACCCTCCCATAAAGAACACTTTAAATCCAGATGGCTTCATTGGTGCAGTTTACTAATTGTTTAAGAAGGAAACAACCTTAATCTTATACAAATTCTTACAGAAAATAGACAGGAAGAAAACACTTCCCAACTTGTATGATCTTATTTCTAGAGCTGACCAAGTTATTGTAAGAAGGGAAAATTACAGGCCAATTTCTCTAATAAATGTGGATGGAGAAATCCTAAACTAAACAATACTGAATCTATATAAAAGTAAGTCTATGTAGGGGTATCTGGTTAGCTCAGTCAGTAGAGTATGCAACTCTTGATCTTAGGGTTGTGAGTTCAAACCCCATGTTGTGTATAGAGCTTACTTAAAAAAATAATAAAATAATATTTCTTTTAAAAAAATGATACATCATGGCCAAGTTGAGCTTATCCTAAGAATCCAATGTTATTTTATCATTCAAAAATTATTCAGTGCGGGGGTATAGCTCAGGGGTAGAGCATTTGACTGCAAAAATTATTCAGTGCAATTCACCATATTAACAGAAAAAAGAAGGAAAATGATAATAATCTCAGTATATGGGGAAGAAAACCATGTGATAAGTTCAACACACACTAATGATTAAAAACTGAACCAATAACAACAAAACCCTCTTAGCCTACTTCCTACTGGAATAGAAAGGAGTTGATTGAACTTGAGAAGCAGTGTCTACAGAAATCTTGCAGTAGACATCAGAGTGATAAAATGCTGAATGCTTTGTCTCTGAAGGCAAGAACAAAGCATGGAAACTTGCTATCATCACTCCTTTTCAACATATCCTGGAGGCTCTAGCCAGAGCATTAAAGCAAGAAAAGAAAGAAATAAAAATTGTCTAAGGATGTGGAAAGAAGAAATGAAATTCTCATTTTATAGATGACATGATTCTGCTTGAACAGTAATACATTTACAAGTAATGTCTTGTTTTCACTGATAGCATTTCTATCATTTTGATTCTGCCTAAGTTCATTCTAAGAGTGTAGAAATCACCACAGTATGTGGAGGTACATTGTCATTCCCCATTCCCCAAGTACATGCAACAAAGGTCTCTTACTTCTGCTATGACTTTTTTTTCTCTACAGATCATATCTGACTCCTGTACGGGATGAGGAAGCAGAGTCCTTACGAAAAGCACGCTCCAGACAAGCTCGGCAGACTCGAAGGTCTACCCAAGTGAGTGTGGCCTTCTTTTTTATGTCATTTTGTCTATCTTCCTTTCTGTTGGCGGAACGATTAAAAAAATAGTAAAATGAGTTCCTTACTCCAGCCACTGTTGTAAAAGTTTTCACCTGTGTTAAATCTTATACTACATAGTATCAGATGTATTTATAGCTCCATCTGCCCACTCTCACTTTTATTTCTCTAGGCTCAGAGCAGGTTTATCTCCTTTCCTTCACAAGACTAATCATTCCATTTGTATTTAAGAGGCCACATCTGAAGAATCCCTAAAGGAGAAGGGTTTGGTAGTTCCTCAAAATGTTACCTGTACTGTTATCATATGACCCAGAAATTCTACTGTTAGGTATATAGTAAAGAGAAATGAAAACATATGTCCACACAGAAACTTGTACATAGGGATGCCTGGGTGGCGCAGTCAGTTGGGCAGCTGCCTTCAGCTTGGGTCATGATCCCGGGGTTCTGGGATCAAGCTCCGCATCAGGCTCCTTGCTCAGTGGGGAGCCTGCTTCTCCCCTGCCTGGCATTCACCTCTGCTTGTGCTTGCTCTCTGTCTCTCTTGCTTGCTTGCTCTGTCAAATCAATCAATCAATAAATAAATACATACATACATACATACAAGAAACTTGTACATAGATGTTTATATAACAGCATTATTCACAATAGCCCGCATCCCAAATTCAGTGTCATCTCCGAACTCTGACCAGAGTTTACTTGCTGTGTAGACCAACACATGTGGAGTTTACAAGCTTGCTGTAGAGTTGAGTCCTGGGCCCCCAGCAGCAGCAAGGGTTAGCATTGTGTGGCTGGGTGTGCCTCAGCTATCCTCAGCAGGTATAGCAGTGGTAGGCATAGGCATAGGTTGAACCATCAGGCAAACCAAATAAATTAAGCAGTTAGCATAATTGGGGAAAAAAGAAAACAAATTTCCATCAACAAAGGAATGGATAAACAAAATATTATAGATCTGTATAATAGAATATTATTTGGCAATGAAATGATACATGCTAATGCTACAATGTGCAGGAATCTTGAGAAAACATTATGTTAAGTGAAAGAAAGAAGACATGATTCCACTGATATGAAAAGATCCAGAATAGGCAAAGCCAGAGAAATAGAAAAAATTAGTGGAGCACCTGGGTGGCTCAGTCACTTAAGCGTCCAACTCTTGGTTTCGGCTCAGGTCATGATTTCAGGGTCATGCATCAGGCTCCGTGCTGCCCATGGAGCCTGCTTAAGATTCTCTTCCTCTCCCTCTGATCCTCCCCCAGCCTCACTCTCACTCGCTGTCTCTCTTAAAAAAAAAAAAGAAAGAAAGAAAAGAAAAGAAAATAGGTTAGTGGTTGCCAGGGTGGGAGAGAGGAAGAAATGGGGAGTGACTGTTGATGGATAGGAGTTTCTTTTTGGGGTGATGAAATGTTCTGAAATGAGACGATGATGATGGTTGCGGAACTCTGAACATGCTAAAACCACTGAATTGTATACAGGCATCCCTCATTTTATTATGCTTTGCAGATACTGCTTTTGTTTGTTTGTTTGTTTTTTTAACTAATCGGAAGTTCAGAGTTCAGTGGCGGAAGTCACTGAGGATGTGGTGGAAGTAACAAGGGGACTAGATTTAGCAGCAGAGCCTAAACATGGGACTGGATGGCTGAAATCTCATGATGAAACATGAACAGGTGGGAAGTCGTTTTTTACAGATGAGCCAAAAAAGTTGTTTTCTTGAGATGGTATGTACTCCCGGTGAAGACTATTGAGATGACAACAAAGGATTTAGAATGTGATCTCAACTTAGCTGATGAAACAGTGGCAGGGTTGGAGGGATTGACTCTGATTTTGAAAGCAGCTCTGCTGTGGGTAAATGCTGCCAAGTAGCATCCGCTGCTACAGAGAAGTTGCTCATGGACACAGGAGTCAAGCAGCGCAGTACACTCCTGCACTGTTGTCGTATTGTGTGGAATTGCCACAGCCACTCTGCCATTAGCATAAAGGCAAGAGCGTCCACCAGCAAAAAGACTATGACTTGCTGAAAGCTCAGACGATGGTTAGCATTTTTTTTTAGCAATGAAGTATTTTTTAATTCAGGTATGTACATTGTTTTTTGGACATAATGTTATTGCATACTTAATAGACCACAATATAGTATGAGCATAACTTTTGTAAGTACTGGGAAACCAAAAAATTTATTTGACTCACTGTATTGTGATACTTTATCATGGTGGTCTGGAACGTATCTCTGAAATATGCCTGAACTTTATTTATTTATTTATTTATAAAGATTTTGTTTGTTTATTTGACAGAGAGAGACACGGTGAGAGAAGGAACACAAGCAGGGGGAGTGGGAGAGGGAGAAGCAGGCTTCCCACTGATCAGGGAGCCCTATGCGGGTTCGATCCCAGGACCCTGGGATCATGACCTGAGCCGAAGGCAGACACTTAGAGACTGAGCCACCCAGGCACCCCATGCCTGTACTTTAAAAGGGTAGGTTTTGGGCGCCTGGGTGGCTCAGTGGGTTAAACCGCTGCCTTTGGTTCGGGTCATGATCTCAGGGTCCTGGGATCGAGTCCCACGTCGGGCTCTCTGCTCAGCGGGGAGCCTGCTTCCTCCTCTCTCTCCGCCTGCCTCTCTGTCTACTTGTGATCTCTGTCTGTCAAATAAATAAATAAAATCTTAAAAAAAAAAAAAAGTAGGTTTCATGATCTGGGGGTCAGGTTTCAATAAAGATATATATATTTTTTTTTTTTTTAAAGATTTATTTATTTATTTTAGAGAGGGAAAGCGTGTGCGTGCCTGCACAGGGCAGAGGAAGGGGCAGAGGGAGAAGAGAGAGAATGTCAAGCAGACTCCCTGCTGAGCATGGAGCCCGAGGCGGGGCTCGATCCCAGGACCCTGAAACCATGATCTAAGCCAAAATCAAGAGTTGGCCACTGAACCCACTGAGCCACCCAGGCACCCCTTCAATAAAGATAGTTTTAAAAGAAAAAGAAATCACTAAGGGAGCCACTGAAGTAAGGAAGAGTCTGGATATAATCTGCATTTATATAAAATATACATCTAAATATTTATATACATAATATTAAGAAATAAATTTATAGGGGCGCCTGGGTGGCTCAGTGGGTTAAAGCCTCTGCCTTCGGCTCAGGTCATGATCCCAGGGTCCTGGGATCGAGCCCCTCATCGGGCTCTCTGCTCCTCGGGGAGCCTGCTTCCTCCTCTCTCTGCCTGCCTCTCTGCCTACTTGTGATCTTTGTCTGTCAAATAAATAAATAAAATCTTAAAAAAAAAAAAAGAAAGAAATTTATATATATACATATATAATTTTTTATTTATTTTTTTAAAAAGTAGGCTCCATGCACAGTGTAGAGCCCAACACAGGGCTGGAACTTACAACCCTGAAATCAATACCTGAGCTGAGATCAAGAGTCGGAGGCTATGGAGTGCCTAGGTGACTCAGTCGCACTCTTGCTCTCTCTCCCTCTTAAAAAAAAAAAAAAAAAAGCATCTGATGCTTAACCAACTGAGCCACCCAGTTGCAGAAATCACCATGCAGAGAATTGATGGGAATGGACGGCGAAAGTATGTTTGGCAAGGCAGGAAACAAGTAGACGTGTTAGGAAGCGTCACAGTAGTCCGAGCTAGGAGAAACAAGACCATGAACTCAGGAGGCACTGGCAGGGAGAAGGGAGAGAAAGCTGTGACTTGGCATTAAGGAGGCAGAGGATGATGAGCTGATAAAACACAATTAAAAAGAGCAGCCAGAGAGATGAAAAGTAAGCCAAGAAATAGGAACAGCATAGAAGTCAATGAAAAGTCAGTTTCCTGGTAAAAGGTGAAGGTAACAGTTGTAAATGCTACAGAGGTCAGGCAGGAAAGCTGAAGACTAAAGAAAAGAACTTTATTTTTTTTTTAAGATTTATTTATTTGAGGGGTGTCTGGGTGGCTCAGTCGGTTAGGCATCTGCCTTCAGCTCAGGTCATGATCCTAGGGTGCTGGGATTGATCCCTGCATCAGGTTCCTGCTCAGTGGAGAGCCTGCATCTCCCTCTCCCTCTGCCTGCCTCTCTGCCTACTTGTGCTCTCTCTATCTCTCTGTCAAATAAATAAATGAAATCTTTGAAAAAGGAGATTTATTTATTTGAGAGAGAGAGAGGGAGAGAGAGCACAAACAGGGGGAGTAGCAGAAGGGGAGGGAGAAGCAGGCGCCCTGCTGTGCAAAGAGCCCCATGTGGGCTTGATCCTATAACCCCGGGATCATGACCTGAGCCAAAGGCAGATGTTTAACTGACTGAGCCACTCAGGCGCCCCAGAAAGGACTTTATAAATAGTCACAATCGTACCCCTGTCTTCCTGACTTTTCCAAAGTAGGTTAAGTCTCCTTCCTTTGTAGTAACTATGACTACTGTTACTTTGTTTTTGCTTCATTATTTCTCTGTTTTTCCCTCTTAGAATGTAACATAAAGACCAAGACTGACGATAACTTTTTTGTTTTAGTTTGGTTTATTGTGATAAAATACACATAACATGCAATTTACCACTTTAGCTATTTAAGTGTACAGTTCAGTGTTGTTAAGTTCATTTGCGTTATTTTGCGACTGTTACTACCATCCCATCTCCAGAACATTTTTGATCTTCCCAAACTGAAACTCTAATGTATATTCAACAGTAATTCCCTCTCCCACCCCCTTCAGGTTCTGGCCACCACCATTCTACTTCTCGTCTCTCTGTATTTTATCAGTCTAAGTACTTCTCACAAGTAGAGTCATTCAGTAGTTGTCCTTCAGTGACTGGCTTACTTCACTTAGCGTAATGTCCTCAGAGTTCATCCTCGTCACAGCCTGTGTCAGTGCTTCATTCTTCTTTAGGGATGAAGGGTATTCCACTCCGTGGTTAGACCGTATGCTGTTCATTCATTCACTTGCGGATAGCCACCTTTTGTCCACTGTGAATAATACTGCTGGGAGCGCGGATGTACGAATGATTTCTTTGAGACCCTGCTTGCAGTCCTTTTGGGTAAATACTCAGAAGCAGAATTTTCTGGATCATACCTTTTTGTCTTAATGACTTATATTCATTCCATTATGCTCATCTGTTTATTACGTCTTTTCCATTAGATTAAAAGGTTCTTCAGTGCATGAATCATTTGATTTGTCTGTAGTTCCAGTGCTTAAGGACACTTAATTTATTAAGAGAATGAATGAGTAAATTCATGAGTAGTTAACAACAATAACAACAGGGTATAGTACTTGCTTAACTACCTCCAGCTTTAGAACTTCCTTCTCCTGAAGACTTGAGCACATAACTGCTTGAGTTGGAACCCGTTCGCTCTAGTCCTAACTCTCTCCCTTCTTCTGCAGATGGCTCCTCCTCGTTTTTCTTCTGTACTGCTGCTCCTAAGAGCCTGGGGGAAATATCAGTTGTTGGAATGTCTCTGTGTCACATTCCTAGAGTTACTTAGGAAATCATCTTAGAGTAAAGCTAATTTAGGTGGTGTCGTTTTTGTTGGTTGTTGGTTGGTTTTTTTGTTGTTCTAGCCTGGCTCAAATTTTCACCTTTTTGAGCCTGATTTTTCTTTCTGTAAATAAAATCAAGTTTTTCTTATTATCCACTGTTTAGAGAATTTGTTTCAGTAGCCATTTGTTCTTGGGAGGTATGCAGCTTTCACATGAAGGTGTTGAGAATTAAGGGTATGAGAGAAGTACATCTGTGACAGGCAGCCATCAGTGTTGCCCTATTTTCTGGCACTCAAACTGGAAAAGCTAAAGTATTACATTTGAAATATGCATGGGCTCAGGCTGGGGCTTTCTGCACACCGAGGTGTTTATTTTAAGCAGATCTTACTTGAAATGGCCTCATATGTTTTGAGAGCTTCATTTGGAATTTGATACTATTAGAACTTTAAGGCAGTCTCCCTGCTTATTTATCAAGAGTTACTCCACAGTTAAGGTGAAACTTCCCTGACCTTGTGTCATTTTCCCAGGGCGTGACACTGACGGACCTTCAGGAAGCAGAAAGGACTTTCAGCCGGTCAAGAGTGGAACGGCAAGCTCAGGAGCAGCCTAGCCAGAAGCCCACAGGCACCGAAGGGCTTGAGGGAAGCTCAGAGAAGCATGAGCCCTCAGCAGTCCCGGCAAAGGAAGCTGGCGAGGGTCGTCAGCCCTGGGGCGGAAGTCTGGATGAAGAAGTAAGTCACTGGCATGTACTGTGCTAAAAGCAGGGTCATTAACGTGGGGAATCCCTCCTCGCTGGTAACTCGAGCACGGTGCTCCTTTGCAGTGGACAATGCGTAGAAAACACTGGTAACGTCTGTCTGTCATTGGCAAACCTGAGTGGCTGAAAGAACTCAGAGGATGTCCGTCCGTCAGTCATCATTTTGTGCTCGGAGTTAACTGACGCTTATTTTTCATCCAGTTTTATTGAGATGTTGACCTATAACAGTGAATTAACATGCAACATTTTATTAACTTTAGGTTATGTACAACATGATGATTTGATACATGTGTATGTTGTGAAATGATTACCACAATAAATTCCATTAACTAAATTAATGCTTTAACTGAAGATGTTTTTCTGTTCTCAAGAGAGAGGTTATAGTATAATAAAAATACAAATAGAAATAAGAGGATTTACTGAGTGTCTACTTTATACCGGGCATTATTTCAACGATTTCGTATGTATTCAAAACAACCCTCCGAGGTAGATGATATTATTTGTATTGTACATGTGAGGAAATCAGGTCACAAAGAGGTTAAGTAACTTGCCCAGCATTTCACACAGATGCGAAATGGTTAAGCAGGACTAGAGCATAGGCAGTCAAGTCCCAGAGTGCTCTCTCAACCATGATTAAATTGTTGTCTAAACCCCTGCAAACCTAGGAGTTTACGAAGCACACCCCTTAATCCCATGCCACAAGATGTCACTATTGAGGTGAACAGTTTTAGCTTATGTTCCCTTTCTCAAGTGGAGTTGGTAGTCAAAGGTATAGGGTTCTATTTAGGGTGAACATAACTTCTAGTTTACCTAAGATGGTTCAAATTACACCTGTTATCTCAGTGTAATTGTTGATATCATTCATCTCCACTCTCCGAAGTATCTTAATTGGGATGACAAATTTTTCTCGTCATCATAGTTAGAGGAAGAAGAAATCTTCTTGCTCCAACTCTGAATGGCTAGGTTATGTAAACTAATTGTGGTTCTTTTTTTTATTTTGTTTTGTCAGCTACTGTTTATTGATTACTTACTACTAGCCACTGTTCTAAGGAGAGCATACATTACCTTTATAATCCTCACAACCCTCTCTGAGAAGGTTATTATCCCTACTTTACATAGGAGAAAGCCGAGGCTCAGAGAAGTTAAGTAACTTATTCAGGGCCACACAGCTAGTAAGTGCTGAAACTAGAATTTGAACCAAATTCTGCCTGATTCCAAAGCTTACTATATTTTATTGCTTCTGTCTTTATAAACAAAAAAGTATACAATCTCTACATGTAGTAAGAATTTCTCTCTCTGTGCACCTTTAATAAATCAAGTTAAGGCTTATTGTCAGTCTCTATCTTTCTCCTTGGGGAAAAAATTCAAAGTGGAAAATGGGAATTTTTTAAAAAGATTTATTTATTTATTCATGAGAAGCAGGCTTCCCACTGAGCAGGGAGCCTGATGCAGGACTCGATCCCAGAACCCTGGGATCATGACCTGAGCTGAAGGCAGATGCTTAACCACCTGAGCCACCTAGGCCCCCAGGAGGTTTTTTTTTTAAGTTTTAATAAGCCTGGTTATAGCAGGCTTGTAGAGTGTTCAGAAATTGGTACACTGCTCAGACTTGGTCGCTGTTCTCGGATTACTGTCTTATTTCTTCATATTCTCGAGCTGCTTTTTATTTTTCTCTGTAAACTTTGCCTTTCAGTGCTCCATCTTAAACAGGCCATCATCCTTCTTATTTTCATTCCAAAATGAAAGGAATTTTTATTAACAAGTTAATGCTACAGAGTACCCTTTGGTCAATTTAGGGGAAATTTTCCTGGGCTGCTGTCAACATGATGATGTTATCAGATAGGAATCTAGAAGCTGTTTCCTTTCTGGCTAATTAACTAACTAACTTTAGTTCAGCTCAGTAGCTATTTACTGAGCATCTACTATTTTTTTTTTTTTAAAGATTTTATTTATTTATTTGGTAGAGATTACAAGTAGTCAGAGAGGCAGGCAGAGAGAGAGAGAGAGAGAGAGAGAGGAAGCAGGCTCCCTGCTGAGCAGAGAGCCTGATGCGGGGCTCGATCCCAGGACCCTGAGATCATGACCTGAGCTGAAGGCAGAGGCCTCAACCCGCTGAGCCACCCAGGGGCCCCCTGAGCATCTACTATTAATAAGCCTCTTGGTATAGGAAAAGCCCATTGTTATAAGCCTGCTATCCTTATCATTTGGTTGGATTTGACCTCTAACATCTAGGCCTGTGGATTATTTCCAGCCTGTCTATCGTCGCCTGAGGTATCCAACTCAGCCAGACAAACCCACAACACCAGTGTCTCCTTCTGCATCAAGGCCATCTCTCTACACCAGTTCCCATCTGCTACGGACAAGCAGATCTTCAGTCCCTGACTCTGAGAGTTCGGAGACCACCACAAACACTGCAGTTGCAAAGGAAATGGATAAAAATGGTTTGTAGAGCTTCAGAATATGCAACCCCCATTCATGTACATGCCCCACTTTCTGAGATCACACTTTGTTTTCTCTCTGGCCAGAGAGTGAAGAAGTGGATGTGGATGATCAGACCTCTAATAGACTGTCCATCCGTGAGAGGAGGCGGGCCAAGGAACGACGACGAGGCACGGGCATCAATTTCTGGACAAAGGATGTAAGTGGATTGGTCCACACTGGGACATATCACATCACCCATGGCTGCCATCCTTTGTTTGAGGGTCCCATGTGGTCCGATGAATCTTGCAGATGATCAAGAAATATTAGTGAGGAAAGAGAAGAAAGACTCCCCCGGAGTGGGACTCCTTTCATATATTCTTGGCTGGATACCCAATGCCTAGAACTGTGCCAGGCACAAAGTAGGCACTCAGTAAATAATAGGTGATGAATGAAAAGGCCAGAAATCTGTAACAACCATGTAAGCAAATATAACAAGGGAATAAGCTTGTCAAATATTAGCAATTCTCCCTAGTAGTCCCAGAAAATCATGTAGTTAGACAATAGTATTATCCCATATAAGCAGAGGTTCTAATGAACTATTTTAGGAGCATTACAAGAATTTCAAGGAACCTAAAATCTTAGTAACACAAGTTCATCTGACCCAATTTTACTCTTCTAGAGGAAAAAAGAAAAAAATACATATAAAACAGATTAACTTCAACTTTAAAATAAAGGCAGGGGCACTGCTGGTGCCTACCAGCTGCAGGCGCATTCAGTACTTTCATTTACCCTCTTACTCTATGCCCGTTTCACTCAGCTTTGTTATTGGCATTTTTTAAAAGTAAGTGACCAAGAATCAAGATGTCCCTGCTTACCAGTGACTCATTTGAAAACTAGATGAAACCTTCAGGGAGACAAGGAATGAAACGGTAATAGTCATCTCTTAGAATCTATTCTTTAAGATAAAAGTATCTCATTTTTATAGGACCAAATAGACTGCTAACTATTGACAGAGATGAAATAAAGTTCTGTCTTTTCTAAAGATACCCCTTTTCCTGCTACGGCCTATGTGGTGTTTTTGATGACAGGCGATGTTCCTGCTCTGTCTGCCTCTGGCGTCTGTTAAAAACAGCAGTAACAGAGCATCACTTGGCAGTCAGTCCTCACTGCCTATGTTGGAAATGCCGAGATGCATAATTGATGGGAGCTGACCTTGTTGCTTTCAAGGAGGTCTGTGACCATGGTCTTCTTGTTTTTCTCCCTCTTCCCTTTTCAGGAGGATGAAGCTGACGTGTCCGAAGAGGTAAAAGCAGCACTGGTAAGTGGCAAGCCAGTGAGGCACGTCCCTTTTGGTTCAGCCTTTCTCGTGTGCATACAATTTCAAGAGAAAAGAGCAGACCCTATGCAGATTTGAGTTGTGGGAGGATTTGGAGATAGACATTGCTCTGAGAGATGGGGCAGGTGTTAGTTGGCGGTATATGGTCTCAGATGCTCTTGAGCAAGTTTCCTGCGCTTCTCTATGTCTTCTGCTGATCCCCAACACAGTTCTAGGAGCTGTCTAGGATCTAGGATCTGTCTGCTTTTTCTCTCTTTTGAGCACGCTACTGGATTGTAGAAAGTACTTTGAAGTCTTTGGAAGAAAAGTGAAGACTGATACTATTTCTTTAATGGATCTATACTTACATAGAGAAAAGGACATAAATGTGAAGAATGTAAACATTGCACAATCCAAAAGTCACTTATATTTGACTTTGAAATGAAGTTAAACCCTTGACTCATACAACTCAGGCCTGGCATCCAACTTTTCTCTGTAGTGGATGGCCTGGGCCCAGCTTTCCTGACATTCCAGGTTCCTGAAAGCCACTCAAAAATGACAGAAAGTTAGTGGTTTCCTTATCAGTACTGTTGTTGAGGGAAGAAGGAATTTGGTTTTGACTACATGAATTGAGACTACATGTACGTTTCTACTGGAAATTATGTAAAAAGATGGCCTTTTTATATCCTGCAGTTAGCTGAAAGTAGGTTCTCAGAATATATTTGAGGGGCATCTGGGTGACTCAGTTGGTTAAGCATCCAACTCTTTTATTTTTTTTAAATTTTTTTAAAATTTATTTTATTTTTTTAAAAGATGGGGACTGGGCAGACGGCAAGGGAGAGAGAATCTTAAGTGGGCTTCACACCCGGTGTGGCACCTACTTTAAAAAAAAAAAAAAAAAGGAATGTATTTGATAAACCATACTGAAAATCAACAACTAACGCATTCTTAGCAGAGAAAATAGAAATACTGTATTATGTCATTGATCTGCCTGTATTTTAGTCAAGATGCAAAGCAATCAGTACGGCCTTCCAAAAAAGCAATGCCTAGACAACTAGTGGTGACATAGGTGAGAACTGCCGACCCTTGGTTAAAGCCCGGTGGACTCACAAAGAGGAGCCGTATCAGTCAAAGTACCACAAAGACGTTCCTACACTTGCATAAATAACAGCAACTCTTCAGTTCTTCACTGGGCTGGGAAGGGCTTTTGGAGTCATAAAGAGTGAATGTAGGAAAGTTGCTTTGGGGAATTATAAAATACCTAAAGAGAAAATCTGAATAATAAATTACAGAGCACTAAAATGGACTGTAATTCCTAGAGGGTTATAGGGGCATTAAATCCATAAAGGGAATGACAACAAGAATGGCTTTGTTGTGACAGAATGTCTTTCATCAGTGAGAATCTGTGTCTCCACCTTTCCAAACCACTTGGCATGGGAAAATCCTGACATAGGGCACAGGTTAGGAAAGCTAGAATGTTCTTGATGCAGGGCTTCCCAGAGAATTTCATCTCAGGGCTTGAATGAAATTGAATGAAAATTATAGAAAAAATTTTCTGATTGGAGGAAGAACAGACTATTGAGGTTTGATGTGAAAGTCATTTGTCAGACTGAAAAACATTTCACTCACTCAGCTGCTTGAGGCATCTGTTAGTGTCTGCCATGTGTCAGGCGGACTCCAACGAGAATCTTGAGAGAAGAATGAACAGTCTGTTATCTCTAGAAGGTAATTTAACTGGACAGGGAAAACAAAAAGCCAAAAACACCTGTTTTTCTCGCAAGTACTCTCTTCTAACACGAGCAGGCATGATGCCATTATATGGACCCACAGACCAACATACCAGGTAAGGTAACATACCGCGTAAGGTGCGGTGGTACTTCAAGACAGTCAGTGATCTCTTAGGACCAGTCTTTCTCCCCCTCCTCCATGTCCTTCCATCGGGCAGCAGAACTGAGCCAGCCAGAGGAGGGGGCATTCTGTTGAATTGGCACTGTTAGCTAATGAGCATGGATACTACTGAGAAGCCAGGCCAGTTCTTTCTTTTCTTGGTTTTTGGTTCAGTAAGACTATATATGCTATTGAGGTCATGACAGCTTCCTTCTCTTTCTTAGCCTGTTGTTATTAAAGAGTAGTGTTGGTATTTTTAAAATTAACTCTTCCCAAGACTCTGGCATATATATTTCTTGAAATATAATTTACAATCTATAAACTGCACGGGTCTTCAGTGTACGATTTGATGAATTTTCACAACTGTATACACCAGTGTGAACACCACCCAAATCAAGATATAAAATTTTTTCATCACCTTGAAAAGTTCCCTCATGCCCCCTTCCCTGTCCCAAGAGGCAGCCACTGTTCTGATTTCTGTCACCATGGATTAATACTGCCTGTTTTTGAACTTCATATATATGAATCATACAGTCATATTTCATTTTAAGAGTAGAAAGGAAACTTTAATGGTTACCATCCCTATCTTATTGTCCAGTTAGAGTTAGAATTAAAATGACTCCAAATAAGTACAGATTTTGTTTCCTTCTCTTAAATGATTTCATAAGAAGAGTCTTTACCCTCGTGCCCGTCTATCAGTAACAACAGCATGGTTAAGAAAACTTCTCTGTTGTTTAATCTAAATCTCTATTGGTATCATTGAAATCCATTTCTTCTTTTTGTGTACCTGTGCTAGAAAAATGTCATCAGCATTTATATACAGATATCATTTATTGCCAGGAAGGGCCCTGGTGTTTGTTTTCAATTATGTGGTAGGATAAAGACCATTCGTGCATTTCTATGGTGGTGACACCAAGAAATGATACTTAGAAGGCTCAGGACTTTGCTTAAGCCCAACACACTCCATGATTTTAGTCAGAACCCATCTTTATTGGTAAATCCATGAACAGGTGAGACTGACAATATATAATTTGATGTCTTAGCACCCCCTTGACAGGTGTGTTCAAAGCACATCTGTTAATTATCCATATTAGGTATGTAATAGAGACTTTCCAGAAGTCTTTTTTGTTTTGTTTTGTTTTTTTATTTGACAGAGATCACAAGTAGGCAGAAGAGGCAGGCAGAGAGTGGGGGGCAGGAGGCTCCCCGCTGAGCAGAGAGCCCGATGCAGGGCTGGATCCCTGGACCCTGGGATCATGACCTGAGCCAAAGGCAGAAGCTTTAACCCACTGAGCCACCCAGGTGCCCCCAGGAGTCTTAATAAATCTTTTATCTTGCTAAATGAGAGAGACTGTATCCAGATCTTAATGTGAGGAAGAAGGATATTCCAGTCATACCTGAAAAAACTTTTATATTCAGGAGCATGTTTGTTTTCTTCACTGTAAGTAATTACTAGAGGTAATTCCTTTACAGTGTTCGTTCTAGAAGGCACAGTCATAGCCACACTGCAGAAAGTGATGGTCATTTGATTTCTTTCCAGCTGTTTGTTTGGTTTTTGGTTTTGGTTTTTTTTTGTTTTTTGTTTTTAACCTACATCTTTGGCCTGCTTCTCTTTTGCTTAACACTGATTTTATCTACTGCGTTCTTGCTGTTTTCCCCCTTTTACTTCTCTGGAACAGACTGTTTCCCTAACCAGTTCTGTTGTATAATTAAGTGTGTCACTAGAGGGCGTAAGTAGTCAACAGAAAAGATGCTGGAGAACAAGAGTGATGCCCTAAAAAATTTGAACAGAAGACAGATTCTTTAGTTTTAAAGGAATTGTTAAAGAACCCAGCTCAGTGTATTAAAGTTACTTGCCTCCCAACTTTTGGGAATTTAGAGATAACCTGGGTTAGGGACCTCAATTTACAGTTAAGAAAACTGAGGCCCAGGGAAGTTAAGAAGTGTTCAGGGACATGAAAGCTCTGCTAGTTGATTACCCTGTGCCCCACATCAGGGAATCTTTTTATTCGACCTAAGTGAAAGAGACCTGCAATCAGGGCTTATTTCCTTCTGCATTCCCTGTTGATCCATTTGGTTTTTTACTCAACAGATTATGTGTTCAAATTGACTTGCTAGTAGCATCTCGCTTCCTTAAGTGAAGGAATGTCTTCCTGAAGGACAACTGAAAAGCCTACTCTGAGTATCAAGATTCAGTCGGTAGGTAGAATAGCAACATTCTTCTGTTGTCCTTGACATAAGTAGGTACTTACGTCTTTCAAGAAGTAAGAATTTCCATACAAAATGCTTCCCTCCCGTCCACGCCCTCCTCCGTCCCTGTTGGCTTTAGGCAAATCAGGTAGCACTCCATCTGAACAAATTCACTGAAGCATCACCTCAAAATTAGCAATGTCATTTTTCCACTCCAGAATGGAACCAGTAGATCTTGATGGCTAATCACCCCTCAAAATGCGTTGGTAAAGGAGATATTGTTAAGGAATTACTAATTCATGAACATTAAGATATCGGTCTTAGAAAAATGGTGGCCTGGGGCGCCTGGGTGGCTCAGTGGGTTAAGCCTCTGCTTTCGGCTCAGGTCATGATCCCAGGGTCCAGGGATCCAGCCCTGCGTCAGGCTCTTTGCTCAGCAGGGAGCCTCCTTACCCCCACTCCTCTCTCTCTGCCTGCCTCTCTGCCTACTTGTGATTGCTCGCTCTCTCTCTCTCTCTCTCTGTCAAATAAATAAGTAAGCCTTAAAAAAAAAAAAGATAAATGGTGGTCTGCTAGTGGATAGATGTGTTTGGAAATTGCTGCAAAAGAAGCAAGCTGTTGAATGTAAGTTTTTCATATTACATAAAAGAGAAAACATACAGAGACTTGCTGCCAAAGCTTGGTTTTGAACTAAGTTTTAACAGAAAATGAAACTTGCCTTGGGAGCCACTTGGCCCCAGAAATGTCTCTACTACCAGAAGTCACTAAATGCATTTCCCATTTTGTCCTGCCTTCTCCCTTTATAACCTTCTTCTCATTTATTCACTGAGCAAGTACTTTTAAGTAACATGTTATAATCAGGCAATTTTTTAGATACTGGAGATGCAACAATGAATGAAAAGCCCTGCTCTTACAGGTTTTACATC